CGCCCCCCCTGCCCCTTTGCCGCGAAGACCTGGAGGCCGAAGTGAGGCCGAACCAAACACCACCTGTTTCTCAGGAAGAGGTACACCAAGCAATCAAAGAGCGCAAAAACGAAACAGGCAAAGACACAGCGGGAGTCACTGCAGAAGTGTTGAAAGCAGGCGGGCCGCGCGTAGAACAGCACCTAGAATGTCTGTTCAATGACATCATTCACACAACAGTTGCCGCCAGAACAGTGGAGGCGCACCACCATCGCTGTGATTTTCAAATCGGGAGACGCAAAACTACCACCAACACTACAGACCAATTGCAAGTATACCTCTCCTGTAAAAGCTTATGTCTCGACTCCTGTACAATCGACTGGGCCCACTGTTTGACAAGCAGCAAAGCGTAGACCAAGCAGGCATCGGACGCGGCTACAGCACCGACGACCACTTATTCGCGACAGCTCGCCTGCACGACCAGTCCGAAGAATGGCAACTACCGTTCTCGGTAGCCGCGGTTGACTTTAGAAAGCGTTCGACTGCGTCAGCCACAACGCACTATGGGGCTCGCTGAGAGAGTAGCAGGCGCCGGCATCCTGCATGCACCTCCCCCAACAATTCTACACGGACCAGACCGTTACAGCGCGGGCGGACAGCGCGAGCAGGCAGTTCAACGCCCAGCGAGGTGTGCAACAAGGAGACCCTCTGAGCTCCCAGCTTTGCAACGCACGACTTGCAAGCATTTTTCCGACGCGTGAAGGACACAGCGCAATGGGCAGTTTGGCGCGCAACTGGGTCTCACCGCAGACGCCCTCCTCACCAACCTCCGTTTTGCAGACGACGCTTTATCGTGTGCGCCAAATTTGCGTCACTTGAAATGCTTACTGCGCGACCTCGAGCTCCACTCGGCACGGCGCGGCCTTGAGTTGCACCCAGACAAGACGAAAATACCGACCAACGTCAACAGGCAACAAGGCAGAACTATCAAGGCCACTAACATCGAAGGTGATAGTGTCGAGATTTTGGACGCAGCGCAGAGCGCGAAGTACCTGGGCAGGACACTGACATGCCGCGACTTCCACATCGCGGAGCTCGACGGCATCATCGCGTCGGGCTGGCGCCGATTCAACCAGTTGAGACACGAACAGACGCGCAAACGCTACGCTCTCGCAAGTCGCCTACGCCTGCTCAATGGGGCCGCAATGCCCAGTGCCATATGCGGATGCAGCTCGTAGGCCCTAACCAAAGACATGCCTGCACTACTCCGGCGTACGCAGCGGAAGATGGTCCGAACCATCGCGGGCACTGGCGGACGACGCGCGCGAGGGAATCGCTGAAGCGACGGCGAGAAAGACTTCCAATTTAGCAGCGACCAACAGGGGTGGGGAGATGGAGCAGAGCGCGCAGAGCTCGACGGAGACTTCGCCGAGAGCAACCCACACAATGACGACGGCACTTACAACGACGACTTCGGCAACGACGAAAGCTTTTAAAAACGGCGAGAGCGACGGCGACGACGGCGGCAGTGCCAGCGGCAACGATGGCGACGCCAACGGCAACGACGGAATAGAGCCACGGGTGGACTTCGTGCGACGAGCGACGCACGCAGCCGACGCACATGCCAGACGCGCGAATGTCGACGATTGGGCTTCGCATTACTTTACAGCAAAGTGGAGATGGGCCAAGCGGGTTGCCAATTTACCAGCCGACCGCTGGGCGCGACGCGCCGCCGCTCGGCAGCCTCCACTGCGCGACAGAAGACCCGTGCAACGAGATCAAGGCGGACAGCGGAAGCGTTGGGACCACGAGATCGCCCAATTTTTGGGCACCATGGATATGATTGACCACAACAAATTTCCCGATGATGCTGGTTGCGCATGGTGGTTTGCGCTGGCGCACGTTAGCTACATTTGGAAGGGCTTAGAGGGCAAGTTTGCGCGATACGCCGTCGACCAGCAAAACGCGGACGACGCGAATTGAGACGCCCAGCCCGTCCGCCGGGACGTGACATCGAACCGGGGCGCGCTGGACATCCGCGCCAATTCCAAGCTTTTGACTTCCACTTTCCGAACCCCAACTCCCACGTCCACATCCCGACTTCCAGCATGCGACATACGATTTTTCATTTCCACCTCCACCTATCCACATCCAGCGTCTTCCAGCTCACCACTCCTACCTCCAGCTTCCAGCATTCCATCCAGCGTCCAGCAGCTCAGCGCTCCGACTTCCACCCCCAAGCATCACGTGACTGTCCACCTCCGCCTCCGCCCATCGACCTCCAGCGCCCAGCAGTTCAGCACTCCGACCTCCGCCCCCAGCATCCGACTTTCCACTTCCACCTCCACCTGCCGACCACCCAGCAGTCCGACTCCAGCATCCGGCTTCCGTCTCTCCAGTTCCACTTGCACCACTTCGCCTCCAGCGTCCACCAGCTCATGACTCAGCACCCCGACCTCGGCAAACAAAGACTACAAGCACTGGGGGCCCCAGCCACCCCGCGCAGGCCCTCGAGGGCCCCGCTCCCGGCGGAACCGCGCGCTCGCTTCGCCTCGCCTCGCCTCGCGTCGTAACATTCCCTCAGCTGTCGCGATGCCGAACTCAAAACAAAGAGCTTGTCCCGTGCAGAAGCTGCCCAGGTCCCAGGACCCGTTCCCGTCGGGACCGGATGTTTTTTGTTGCAGCCGTCCCCATTTGAGCGACGCAAGATGAAAGGGAGTCGTCTGCGTCGACATTGGCACGAAAGCTGCTCGCCTAAGGTCGCGCGTAAGCGCCGTCATTTCCAATGTAGCGCGATGCCCTGGCGGCCAGCGTAAGCCGTCGCGTGAGAACTGTGTTCTACCTCGCGTAAGACCCGTTTGTTTTCGTCGCCCGTTTGTGCCGGCTTCGGGCTTCGCGGCCTTGGGAACGCGGCTCGGGATGAAAGGCGGGCCCCAGGGTTGACGGCGTCGCGCGCAAGGGGGTGGCACAATGGGGGTGGTCGTCTGAGAAGGCGGGGGCTTTTCAGAAGGCAGGTGAGAAGGCCCAGATACTGTTAGCTTCTGGGTTTCTCAGAACCCAGGCCCCCTCGCGACAAAAAACACGAGGGGAGGCTTTTCATATTATTGAATCGCTTCGCTCACTCCGCCGGCCCATAATTGCGTGCCGTTGTCGACTGACCGAGTGGTTTTTCGCGGTGCGGAACTGCAGGGGCGGCGGCTGTCTTTATCAGGTTTTCCGTTTGGCATGTGAGACTTCTTGGTGGCCGCTGGGGGAATCTTGAACGCGTCGCGGGCCGTCTGGAAGCGTTTTGCTTACGGGGACTCTTTCGGGAGGCCTTTTGGTGGCCTTTTGGGGGCGCTTAAACGCGTCGGGTTGTTGGCATTTGCTTGCGTGCTCGGGGGGGCATTTGGGGAGCCTTCTGGGGCCGCTTGGGGGCCTCTTGGAGGCCTCCTGAGGGCCTGTTGGGGGCGTTTTGGGGTCTCTTATGGGCCTCCTGGGGATTCCTGAGAGGTTCTTAGGGCCGCGGGCTCGACATGCTGTTTCGTGTACCCCCCGTGTGACCTCTCTTGGGGCGTTCTTGGGGCCTTCTTGAGCCGTCTTGGAGGCCTCTTGGCCGTTTCGGAGCCCTGTTGGGCCGTCCTGGGGCCCTTTTGGAGCCTCTTGGTCCCTCTTGGGGCGGTCTTGGCGGCCTCTTGGGCCGTCTTGGGGTGTGGGGAAACCGAACAGGTGGAAACACCAAAATCTGTCCAAAACCTTAGGAATAACAATTTGTTTGAGCCTCTTTGGGCCCTCCTGGGGCCGTTTGGGGGCCTCTTGGGGGCCTCCTGGGGGCCTGTTGGGGGCGTTTTGGGGTCGCTTATGGGCCTTTTGGGGACTCCTGGGGCCTTCTTAGGGGCGGGAGCTCAAACTGTTGTTTCGTGTTCACCCCTGGGACCTCTCTTGGGGCGTTCTTGGGGCCTTCTTGAGCCGTCTTTGAGGCCTCTTGGCCGTTTCGGAGCCCTCTTGGGCCGTCTTGGAGCCATCTGGGGGGCCTCTTGGGCCCTCTTGGGGCGGTCTTGGCGGCCTCTTGGGCCGTCTTGGGGTGTGGGGAAGCCGAAAAGGTGGAGACGCCAAAATCTGTCCACCTCAGGAATAATAATTATTTGTTTGCCTCTTGGGGCTCTCCTGGGGCCGCTTGGGGGCATCTTGGGGGCCTCCTGGGGGCCTGTTGGGGGCGTCTTGGGGTCTCCTGGTCCTGGGGCCTTTTCAGGGCGGGGAGCTCGAAATGTTCATTCGTGTTCCCCCCCTGGGACCTCTTGGGGCGTTCTTGGGGCCTTCTTGGGCCGTCTTGGAAGCCTCTTGGCCGTTTCGGAGCCCTCTTGGGTCGTCCTGGAGCCATCCTAGGGGCTCTTGGGCCCTCTTGGGGCGGTCTTGGCGCCCTCTTGGGCCGTCTTGGGGTGTGGGGAAGCCGAAAAGGTGGAGACGCCAAAATCTGTCCAAAAACCTAAGGAACAAACAAGGAATTTAGCCTCTTGGGGCCTTTTGAGAGTGCTCTGGGAGACGTGTTGGGCCGTCTGGGGGGCATCTTGTGCGTCTTGGAGCGATCTTGTGGCATCTCGGAGCTCTTTTGTATCATCTTGAGGGGCTCTTGGCGGCCTCTTGGCCTTTCTTAGGGCTCTCTGGACGGCCTCGAGGGCTGCGCCCAGGAGGAAAACCATCTCTGATCCGCAGCGCCCGGGCTTCGCCCGGGGTACTTTTCTTCCGGGGATCCCCAGGGGCCGCCCCGCGCGCTAATTCGAATTATTGCAAAGCAGTTACCGGAGATCTTAGCACGCCTCTGGCCCGTTGGGCCGGCGAATTATCGGCCTTTGGGGACCCGTACTGGGCCTCGGAGCCGTCCAAAAATGATTCGGGATGAAAACCGGGTCCCGGGAAGAAGTCGAGACCTTTGGGGGTCGACGTTTTGAAAAAAAAGAGAGATAACATTACGTTGGGGGGTCTTGCAAGGTGGGAGGGAGTCGGCGAAGCCCCCTTGCCTTCTTCACGGGCCTTCTCGGAAGGCAGCCCACCTCGTCGCGCCACCCGCTGTCAGTGCACGGCAAGAGGGGTCGAGGTGTCCGGCCAGGGATCCACGCACCGAAGAACTCCAGGCGTCGGATATTTGAGGGTTCGCGCGCGCGCGCCGCGCGCGCGCGCCGCGCGCGCGCCGCGTGGGCCGTCCTCGCCGGGGACCTGCGGGAGGCTGGCGGGCGGTGATCCGAGGGTTTCGCAGGGCTCTCGCAGGTGCTCGGGGACGGGAAGGGCTTTGGGCTCTTGTCGTAGGGGCTCGATCGAGGGGGGTGATGACGATGACGATGACGGGAGGGAAGTGCTCTGGGCTCTTGTCGGAGAGGCTCGGAGGAGGGACTCGGGGGGGGCTCTCGGAGGGGCTCTCGGAGGGGCTCGGGGCCAAGGGCTTGAAGACGGACCTGGCCGGGCCCGGCTCGCATGCGGCGCCCGGGACTGGCCAGGCAGGGGCCCGCTGGTCGTCCCAGGCGCAGGGCGGATCCCGGGCGGGCGGTCGCCCTCCGTGTCGTGACAGGATATAACAGTACGTTGGAGGACTTCCCTGATTTCCCAGCTCCTACTGTTCCATACGGGCTCCAGGAAACGAGGTCCGCTGGGTGCGCCGGAATTTTCGAAATGCTTCCTGCGCTAACCGTATCTTGTGACATCGTCGTCTCGATATCTTGCCCGGGAGCTGGCCTCCTTACACCCCAGGCCCAAGTAGACACCAGGCCTAAAACGGGCCTGGTGCCAGGGCCGCGGGGCGGAAAGAAGGAAGACAGAGGAGGAGAAAAAGGAGGAGGAGGAGGAGGAGGAGGAGGAGGAGGAGGAGGAGGAGCAAGAAAGCTGTAACCCGAAAGCGGGTGTTGGACCCTCGCCTCGGCCAGTATGGCCTGAACCTCGCGGGTGCCGGGCGTGGGCGCTCGTCTCAAGCATGGCCACAAGCCCACAGGGGCCCAGGGGTCACCCCTCCGCGAGAGGAGGAGGAGGAGGAGGAGGAAGAGGAGGAGAATTACCCAAGGATTACCCCAAGCTGACTCAGTCAGACCACGCTACTTCCGGGGGCTCGCTTGAGAGGCTTCCCTTCCGAATGGCGTTGGAGGACCCAAGTCCCCATCTTCACTTAGGGGGGGCGAGTCGGCAGGCCCGCGCGCGGGGGCCTCCCCTCTGGGGCCGCGACCCTGGGGCTCCCTCCCTCTCCGTGCGCGTCTGGCAGAGGCGCCACGGAGCCCTCGCCCTTCCTTCCCACACGCGCCGAACATGGACGATGACGCGCGTGGCGTTCACCCCCGTGGCCCTTAAGATCATATCGTGGAAGTTCGCCCTGAGAAACTGCGAGGGCCGCCCGTCCGACCCCAGGATGGTGGAGGCGCCGCCGTGGAGCCACCAGTTGGACTCGAGGAACCGCTGGTACCGCCTCTCCAACTTGGCCTGGTCGGCCGCGGGATGGGCCCCCCACTCGCTGTGGACGTCCTTGGCTTCCCACTGGCTGGCGGGGCCCTGTCTCTCTGCCCTGGTGGCAGCCTCCAGCCTCCGAAGCTTTCGCACGAAGACGTGGTCGTTGGCCGAGGTCTGCCACGCGCCGAGAGACCGCTCCACCTCCTCACAGTAGCTGATGACGTTGGGCTCTATCTTCGCCTCTCCCGTCTTCTCGCCATTCCTATTCTCTGGTCCAGTCGTGGCGACGAGGGGCAACGAGGTAGGGTACCCCACGGTGTAGCTAATGACGTTGGGCTCTAACCTCGCTTCCACCGCCTCTGCTTTCTCGCACTGCTCGCGCCCGCTGGGTCCCGCTGTCTCCTCCTCTGGCGGCCACTGCCCGTCCTCCTCACACGCACGGTCTCTGCTCGCTTGAAGCTGCCATTGCCCGCACTTTCCGTCTGCTGGCGGTTGCCACTGCCCATGCTTAACGTGCGCCCCAGCACTGTAGCTGATGGCGTCTGGCTTGCTGGTCGCCTCCCGCTCTGCCTTCTCGCAGGTCGCGCTGGCACCGATAGCGTCTGCGCTGGCCCCCCTTGTTGTCGGCACCCACTGGTCCCTGCACTGCAGCTGGCGTCATCGGGTTCACCATGCGCCTCTGTCGGCGCTGCCTTTGTACATGTCCCGCGCGTGCCGCGTCCCCCGATCTAGCTGATGGTGTCGGGCTGTCCCCTCCCCTCCCCCGACGCGTCGTGCACGCAGAGTCCGAGCGCATGGGCATAGACCTCCGATCGGTAGCTACGGCTTTCGCGAATGGAGTGAAGCAACTCTTCCCTCTGTTTCCGCCGAGCGCCCGAACGACAACCATGGGCATGCACATGGTCGTCGTTCTGGGGCGTTGGGGAGCTCGGCTGCCTTTTCCTCCTCTCCTCTTCCTCCTCCTCCTCCCCTCCTCTCCTCGTCCTCCTCTTCCTCCTCTTCTTCTCTCCTCACCTCGTTCTCCTCTTCTTCCTCTTCGTTTCTCCTCGTCCTTCTCTCCTCCTCTCCTCGTCCTCTCCTCGTCCTCCTTCCCTCGTACTCCTCTCATCCTCTTCCTCCTCTCCTCCTCTCCTCGTCCATGTCCCTTCCCCCCCCCACACCTCTTCCCTCCCCGCCCCCCCTCTCCGGAAAGTATCATCTTCCCTCCCCCTCCCAACTCCTCGAAGATGAGGAGGAACTTGCGAAGTCATTGCCAGGGGGTGGGAAGGAAGCATTCGAATTCTGATCGGGTCGAGAACCGTCGTCGCAATCGTCACCCTTTAATTCATCGGAGGTGAGGGGATGAGATCGAAGTGGAACGGAGAGCGGTAGGGGGGAAATCGATTTCGGTTTCGTGTTCGTGCGTGCCGTGCGTGCGGGCGAGGCGAAGCTGCGTGGGCGGGCGAGAGAAAGTCTCCTGTGGCTGAGGCGCGGCCGGACCAAATGACTCCCTTCCGGGCGGCCGGTGGCCCGCGGTGTCCCGCCGGTGTCCCGCGAAAGTCCCGTGTGGCTGAGGCGCGCCAGACCAAATGACTCCCTTCGGGGCGGCCGGGGGCCCGCGGTGTCCCGCTGGTGTCCCGCGAAAGTCCCGCGGTGTCCCGCGGTGCCCCGCGGTGTCCCGCCGGTGTCCCGCGGTGTCCCGCGATGATGATGATGATGATCATGATGATGATGATGATGATGATGATGATGATGATGATGATGATGATGATGAGATGAGATGATGATGATGATGATGATGATGGTGATGCTGATGCTGATGCTGATAATGATAATGCTGCTGCTGATGATGATGATGACGTCGATGATGATGATGATGGTGATGCTGCTGATGATGAGGACGACGATGATGATGATGATATGATGATGGTGTCCCGATGATGATGATGATGATGATGATGATGATGATGTCGATGATGATGATGATGATGATGATGATGATGATGATGATGATGACGATGATGATGATGATGCTGATGGTGTTCCGATGATGAGGATGATGATGATCATGATGATTATGTCGATGATCATGATGATGACGATGATGGTGTCCCGATGGTGATGAGTATGATGATGTTGATTTTGATGATGCTGATTATGATTGTGTCCCGATGATGATGATGTTGATGATGATGAGGTTGATGATGATTCTGGCGTCCCGATGATGATGATGATGATTATTATGATGGTGATTGTGATGATGTTGATGATGATGGCGTCCCGATGGTGATGATGATGATGATGATGTTGATGCTGATGTTGTTAATGATGATGATGATGGTGCCCCGATGATGACAACGATGATGATGATGCTGATGATGATGTTGATGATGCTGATGATGATGATGATGACGATGATGATGATGATGATGTCGATGATGAGGATGAGATGATGATGATGGTGTTCCGATGATGATGATGATGATGATGATGATGCTAACATGGTGATTCATGATGGTGTCCCATGATGCCGGCTGATTGATGAATGATGACGATGACGTGTCCCGATGCTTGCTGATGATGATAGCTGTTTGATGATGATTGTATTGATGTGAGGTGATGATGATGATGATGATGGTGGTGCCCGATTATGTTGAGACCGTGATGCATGATGATGTTGGTGATGATGATGAGGACGGTGTCCCGATTCTGATGATGTTGGTGATGATGATGTTGATGTTGTTGTTGATGATGATGATGACGTTGATTGTGAGAGCGCTTGTGATATCGATAGTGAAATCGATAGTGAGACCGAATGTGATACCGATTGTGAGACCGATTGTGAGATCGATAGTCAAATCAATTGTGAGATAGATCGAGTGAGATCGATTGTGAGATCGATCGAGGGAGATCGATCGAGCGAGACCGATACTGAGATCGATAGTGAGATCGATAGTGAGACCGATCGAGTGAGACGTTGGTTCCTCCCCCCCCGAACCTCCTTATCACCCAAAGGGTGGTCGTATAGGTATCATTTTTGGGCTCTGAGCAAGGCAGGAGATCGAACCTCCGTGGTGACGGCGTTTGCTGAGTTGGTGGCGGGTTTGGGGGAACTTGTGGTAACAGGGGTCGCCTTGGCCAGCCTTCCACGGCAAACGACACACCAACGCGAATTATTATGTTTAACAACATCCCGTTCCGAGATCGGTTCAGGGTTGAGTCGAAGAAGGTAGTGGCACCGTTTTAGGTGGTCCTTCGTCCTGAGAGCCGCGGTGGTGATCCAGCGAAATCTTTGCATACGCAGCAAATCATGTATGACATCATGAAGGTTGGGTACGATTCCATAAAAAAGCCACCGGCAATGGTGTGCTCGTGAAAGTCAAACCCATGGTGGTGGGGGGGAGCGGCACGAAATTCCAGGAGGATTTGTGGACAAGATAAAGACAAATCCGGACATGGCCCTGATTGACAACACCAGCGCGCCAGCGCGTTTTGGCAGTTTGTCGCGCAGCCATCTGACTTGTTCTTTCCACAATGACGTCGGGCTCCACTGCCAGCTTCTCCCACTGCTAGCGCTGCCGCTGCTCGCCCTCCGCTTGTGTCGGCTCCTGCGGCCGCTCCCCGATCGGCCCCCAGCCTCCGCTGCGGCCGTTGAAAAAAGGCGTCCCGAGCCAGCCGAAGCCGACGGCGGCTTGTCGGCAGGTCGCCAGGCGCAGTCCTCGCGCCGCGCGCCGCTGGCTTCTGCTCGGGCGCCTCTCCACTCCTGGGGGCGCACTCGATCGCATGTCCAGCGCCGCTCACGGCAG